GCCACAGCTCTGTCCCAACCACATCATCAACCTCATCTCAAACCATCCATCTCAACCTCAGCCAAACCATCCACCAACCATCTAGAACCTCTCCCTTCCTCACCTACCCCAATCTGTTTGGCTATCTTCTACTCTGTCCGCCTTCAAGAGACACATCTTTTCAGGGAAGCTAATCCCACCTCCACCTAAAACCTTTATACTGTAAGCTATCATGAGCTGGGCCCTGCTAACCCTAATAAATTGAATTGCATTGTAACTGTACTGTCTCCCTTTACTTTTTACAATGCTGTGCAAACTTAGGGCTATATTTTTTTTTTTTTAGATTTGAAGATCTCAAACTTTATTCATAAATAATTTATTGAAGTTATTATTTATGTTGAGATAACTTTAAGGACCTCCCGACTCTTATCTGAGGCCATGTTTGGGGAAGGGCGCTTCCACCACCCTCTCAGATCCATGCTAGAAGACCAACATGGCTTATTGCATCCCACCACACAAGAGGAAACAAAATGCATCTCTGCAAGGAGGGGCCGCCAAGGTGTTTGTACAAAGCTTTTCCTGATGGAGGCAGGGATGTCTCTGCTATCTGTTGTAGTGCTGCTACCCATGCAGGCAGCAGTAGAATCACCACCAGCAGGAGACTTCTCAAAGAGGTGTTGCATAGTTTATACAGGCAGCAGCAGGCAGGCCTGGCACCAGATAGCACTCACAAGCATGGCTTGTCCAATAAATAGCAGCAACCTCTGAAGAGAAGAAAGACCCCATACAATGCTATGTGTCTAAGATGGACCAGTTATTAGAGCTTGCAGAACATGTGCTAGAAGTTCTGGCCTGCCCTGCTGCAAGTGTCTTATCAGAAAAGGTGTTCCTTGCAGTTGGAGGGGTGGTGACTGAGAGACAAATCTGCCTGTCCACATGATCTTTATCAAAATGAACCAGGTTTGGATCTCAAATGCTTTCCACAACCCAGGTGGCTTCCAGTATCTCACTTCCATATATGGCCGAGTCTCTTTGCCTGTGATGGGGCATATTTTAAGTAGTAGCACATACAGTTCCTGCTTCATGTGGTGATGGTGCTGCTGTCACTGCTGCCTCCCATATTGCTCTCTGTTTTTTTTAGGTGCTATATTAATCCTATAATAATAATGCAGTAAGCTTACCCAAAGACACCTACAGGTGTGGGGTTGTGCCTGCACATTCACTCATCTATGCAGCTAAGTTCATAAGTAACAATGAAAGATGCAATGTTTTCTTTGTAGGCATTCTAGCTTCTATTGGATTGCTTAACTGAGTAACATATCAGAGCAATGTAAATAGATGTTTTGAATAATATGAATCATTTATAGCATGTTATACAAACACTTGCATTAAATATATATTATCCACTATAATTGTGACAGGGATCATAATACGTATGAAGTATCTCTGTAAACAAATTTACCTTTCATACCAGAAAATTATAATTATATAAACCTGATAGAGAGATGAATGTGACTTCAGGGAGAGACAAGAGCATTACCATGTGTACTCAATAATAGGAAGGAGTATCCCTAATGTACTCTCTTGGTAAAACTTAGACGTGTGGTTTGTTTCGTTCCAAATCGAAATTCAGGTAAAATTTTTGTTATGTAAAGATTTGAATGTATCTGAATTTCCAAATTAAAACAATAATGAATTTAAATGAATTCTGAATAATGAAATAACCAAAAAAAAAATGTTGTCCGAAATTCAAATTCTAATGCGACTAAAATATAAATAATATAGTTGTCTTCTGAAATTCAAATTTTGAAAAGAAATAGAATAAAACAGAATAGAATAGAAAATAAAAGAATAAAAAAAAGAGAAAAGAATAGAATAGAAAATAAAAGAATACCCTGCGTGGGCGTATCTTGAGCTTGTTGTATTCTTAAAACAAAACTTTCTTAATAAAAATATTGAAACAGAAAATAAAAGAATAGAATAGAAATTATTACAACATAATAGAAAGAAAATAGAATAGAATGAAATAGAAAGAATATAACCTTCTTCAAAATCTCAAATAGAATAGAACCAGCTATTTTTCACAATGAATTCGGATCGATTTGGTATGTTCTGTTTGAATATTATTTGAATTTGGTTCAAATACTTCGAATCCATTGGAAAAATTTTAATCCGGTCGAAAACGAATAAAGAAAATGAACCAAATTTTGTTACGAATGCAGCAAAATGAAATTATGAACGACATGAATCGATCTGAAACAAAACACAATTTTTTCGTTCTGCACATATCTAGGTTATTGTCAATCAAAACCCCCATTCAGCTGTCAAAAAAAACAAGCCTTGAGGAGGTGTCAATTTCACCTCCCGAATGCCTATCAGCCTCTCCTGTACCACTCTGAAAAAAGAGATCCACCGTGGATTGTTTTTCAGAGACTAAAGCGTATGTAAACAAGCCCTTAATGCTCCGTGTTTGAGTAAGTAGTGCATGTACTTGCAAGAATATATGAATGACAACTTTTAATTGACCCTAGTGCTTACCATAATGTTAATGCTGTATTTTCATCCAGAAGGATTTTTAATTTTAAGGATTTTAAGCATTTAAGCATTTTAAGGATTATTTTGTATTAGACAAAACTCAGATATACTTTTGGAAGCCAACCAATATACATATTGCTTTACTGAAATTGTGGTAGTTTTCATCTTCTATATAATTAAAGCAATTATCTTATTACACTGCCATGACAAAACATCCACAGAGAGAATAAAAGGATTTCTGTGTATCAATACGGAAGGCTATGACAAATATTGTAATTCAAACAAAATCAAAGTTTTAAGCACACTATGTAACTCTGATTGTAATTGTGGGATTAAGAATTGTACTGACTGAATATGGTTAAATATAATAGCCGCTGCAAAGAGTAATCATCGGTGAATGAAGGGTAATTATACATAGGTGGACGTTTGAGAACATAGCTAATTTACACACATTTCTGCAATTTGATGGTAAATATACACTCAGGAATCCCAAGTAATGTGCATCTTAGAACACAAGCACTTAACAATAGTGGAACAACATATAGCTGGGGATGGGGGGGGGGGGGGGGGGGTAGCACAAGGACCCCTCTCTCTGGGGACAGCTAGATAAAAGAAAAACTTTTCAAGGCCATCAGTGTGGGACAACAAGTCCCAACATGTTTAGAAGCCATAATCCATTGACATTAGCTGACCTCAGACTAGAAGGAGGAGTTATTTAGCCAATGATTGTGGGAAATGTAGTTTCGCTGAGTACAAACAGCATCGTATCATAGTGGTGAGGAAATTAAGGTTCCCAGGGAGCTATGCAGCCAGGGAGGAGAATTTAGTTGACTTCTCAGTGAGGATCAGGACACTTGGTGCCAAACCAGGTAAGGAATTGGACATCCAAGGAGAGTGCTGAGCCTTTGGGCACCCACCCACCAGTTGCAGCCTAATCACCTGCATCCACAGCCATACAGAGCATGTTCACTGGTCATCACCTGTATCCACAGCCATCCAGAGTGGATTCACCGGTCATCACTCGCATCCACAGCCATACATAGCAGGTTCACTGGTCATCACCTGCATCTACAGACATACAGCGCAAGTTCACTGGAGCTCAAGCCACTGATCCAAGACAGGCTCCTGCTGTCGTAACCCATCTCTGAAGCACAACATTGATGAGAGGGTTGAAAACCCACCAGACACTGTGCATCACAAAAAACAATAGGACTCTAATTACACAGTATACCACCTGGTTTTTTAGACACTACAGTACCAAAGCTGCATACCATTGAGAGGTGCCATATCACCTATTTTGAATTACCCTACTAGTTCAGATCCTCTCAGCACTAGATGCTGACCTTTTCACTGTTGTTGAGCCCTGTTAAAGTTTTTCCTGCCAGAACTCTCCATCAAACCCTAACCTCCCTAAACTAGGAGTATCAGGAAGCTAATCATCATCATCACTAGTGCACCACCAAAAGGGCCCCAACTTCACCAGCAGAACTAACCTCCTGTTTTATAGTATTTTTATAGACTTTAACAATTTGTTTTTTACTTCACTGAACACCAACATCTTGCAGGCAGCCCTGGACCTAATAGAATCACTCCAGAGCCTAAGGCAACATAGCCTCTGGGGTTTTATACTTTTTTGTTTCTGACTACCTTTACATCATTCTGGGTGATTCTGTTACAGTTTAAGCTGACTGGTAAAATCTGGGCCAGTTACAGTTACTTTAGCATTGCTTCTTGCACACAACTCTGGTATAGAAGTACTCTGTGTAGAAATTTATATTACTTTAGCTTGCTCACAGTGTGTATTACCCTGTCTCATGTAATCAATTTGCTAACATACAGACAGTGTTTACTCAACTTGGGGTGGTTCATTCAATAAAAGAGGTGTGTCAGATACTTCTTCCCATGTAAACGAGTAAGGGGTACTATGTACCCCTACAAATTCACCAAAAAATGTTAGTGGTAAGTTAAAACAAAAACACAGTTTTTGACAAGTCCTTTTTTTAATTTTTTTTTTTTATTCTCAGGTTGTACATCCATTGTCAATCATGTCACCCAGCATTGCAAATCCAAAAAAAGTAAAACCCACTGACACACGACTGATTTCATTGCTTGCCTCATGACGAATGCAATCCCCAGGGTCACCCGGTGATGCTGTTGACCATATATAGACATGTCCATTTTTGGTAAATGGCAAATAAGGCAGAGTCAACCAGTGACATCATTGACATAATAAAATTTTAAAGGAAGTCATATACGGCCAGCCAGAAGTCACAGAGAGTTTTCTTACAAAAAAAGTAGAGCTCCTCTTAAATTTGATGGGGTTTTTTTAACTCATTTTTTCATTATGGGAAGGAAGTGATGGATAAAAGGTACCAGGAGGTTGGCGCTATAGCACACCAAACTTAATTTAGTTAGGGCCTCCATCTACTTTGACACATGTCTCTCCAGGCAGAGTTCTATCGTGAGACACAGTAAATCACACTTAACCCTGGACCCTGCATTCACTATATCTGGTCTCCCACAGTACACAGAACATGCAAGTGCAATTGTTTCGTAAATATAAACTGCAAAATACCTTTTCTTATTAACAGTTAGAGCAGTCTTGTGACTTCTATCAGTGTCCAGCTGAGCACATGTTAAAGCCTGTAGGAGGAGTTTTCATTCTGCTCTAGAAAGACACAGAACCCCTGACCTCTGCCTGGACAGTACTGATTGACCTTGTGCTGATCACATGCACTCTAACAAGGAAAAAGAAAACCTCTCTAGAAATACACACCAAACTGAGCATGTGCAGAGCGGATCCACAAGATATGCCTTATCAGGAGATAAGAGGGGGACACTGGAAGAAGGAGAGGATCAGGAAAGTCAGGGTCAAACAGCCTTTTTACACAATGCAGAGGATTAACCCCTTAGGTTCCACAGTGAGAATAACAAGCATGCTTTACTGCATTTACAGACTGATTTTACTGTTGTGGGTTTAGTAACACTTTAATGGAAAATATCAGGACCTCATCATTGAAAAATATGGCGGCTTGCTATAGGGGCACTTAAGAAAGTGGGAAGGAGCGCTGATAGGGGACCTCAGAAGAGTAGGATTAGGGCTGCTCTGTGCAAAACTATAAAATTCCTTTACAATCACTTTAAAGATTCATTTACAACTGGTAAGTTTGGACGGTATTTAATGCCTTACCGCTGGCCGCATGCAGCCTCTTAACTGGTGGGCCTTAACAACGAGAGGCCGTATATATACGTACCCAAAAAAAAAACAACTGTGCTGAGAGCGCGCACCGTGCGCACTCCCAGCAAAGTTACCAGTGGCTAACGGATAGCTCCCAATCTCTACTTTCGATCAGGAGCTTTCCAATCATGTGACCACTGTGACAGCAAACCACAACGTTCACATGATAACAAACCCCACCCTGCCTCCTGCCTCCCGGCATCTGAAACCTCTTAAAGGGCTGGGAGGCGCTGGCAACAATGGGTTAAGCATCTCATCTGGAAAAATCAACTAGAAAACATTCTAGAAGCAGGTGATTGATTTCTTGTATTGTTTTATTTCTCAAGGACCCAATAACTAAAAAAAAAAGAGTAAAAATTATAATAATGATACAATATACTAAACAAAAAATTTTAGTTACAATATACTGTATTTTTTTAAAATAACAAATAACATAGCATATCATTGGTCTTCATTTTCTCATGATAAATTTTGAGGTTTTTTAATTTGAGCAAAGATTTCTAAACACACAAATGGCATATTATTATATAAAAAAAGATGTTAGCAGCCTTGTTGGACAGACTCTTTGGAAATAACACCTAGATGTACTCACACTTACTCAAGCTGATGAGTCCTTGAGAAATGGAACATTTAAAGTAATCAATCACCCTGCACTATAAGATTTTGTAATTGCTTTTTCCAGAACAGATGCTTTAACACTGACCAGGATTTTCAGTCTGTCACCAGTTTGTGTGAATGAAACCTTAACAAGAGAAATCTCTATCAAATAAACAGTCATCAAAGTTTTATTTTACTATAACCAAGGAGGATAATCCTAAAATACCATTTAACACAAAATAACAGTAGATAGGGTAATAAATATGTTCATCCAAGAATTGAAGTAAAGGAATTTGTTACAAATTTTAAAATTTAAACCCTATAACTGGCCATACACTGATCGAAATTCCAATTTAAGCAGGGGCCAGCAAAATTTCAATCACGGTGTGGACATCTTTACTCCATCAGTGGCTGCAGCGAATCATTTGAACCCACTGACCAGTGTCCCAGCAGCAAAGATTCCTCCATCCACCTTATTTGTGTGGATAGATGAATCGCTGGTTGAACAAAGAAAAATGTACTGTGTGTGACCAGCTTTATTATGGGCTCCTCCTTATTAGGCAATGGAATTTTATACAGAACTTCCATTTTCCAACTGTCTTCAGATTGGCCATGTGACAAGCAGGGTCCTCTTCCATTTTGGATCTTCTCCAGGTGGTAGGTGACATTGGTGCACTCTTTCATTATTACATTGTGAGTGCCATCATCACAGGTCATGGCTGGGCCATGGTGTCGTACACTCACAGTATATCTTACAGTATGTATGTATGTCCACTGTCTGATGAAAAGGAATAAATGCAATTAATTAAGGCAGCACTGCTTTCTGCATCAGTACACTGTAAATGCAAGGAACCATAGTGATGCCCACTTGGGAGGTGGGTCCATGACGATCTCACAGTATGTTCTCAGCCATTTCCAGGTTATAGGAGGATGGGCATCATTCAACATGATAGCCTGAGATGACAGAAAGCATTTGCTGCAAGGGATGGTGCCTTATTTTTGATTGACAGCACATCAGTAGCTGTATTCCATAGTCACAGCTATGGAAGCCTCCCACTGCTGCACGCTAAAACTCAAAAGAGAGAGGGACCTGATGGGGACCTAGTTTATCAGTTCCTCATCTGGCTCTGGCTTATTCTACATCAGATCCTGCCTCCCCTGTGACTCTCACATATGGAAATGGACAAATTTGGTTATTTATATCATCAAAATCTCCAGCCCCCAGCGAAGTTTGCCACCACATCCCTTTAAAAAAAACAATAATTACATGGCTTCTGTAGCTATTTATTGCAGATAAGGCACTAAGTGAGTTTAATTACCACCTTGATCAGCCACAGAACCTGTGTAATTATAATGTGTTCGGTTTTAAAGGGATGAGGTGACAATCCTACCCCCCAGCCCCTTTATTTACATTCAGCGTTTGACCTGGAGATAGTTGAATGGGGCTAGGGATAAGTTGGGGATAGAGTCCTGCACAAGAAGCAGTCACATTCATGACAGTTTCTCAGCACAGACATGCCATACTCTTAGCTGTCTGTATGCCAGGTCAGAGCTGGTTTTAATCACTGACAGTTTTCCAATCTGCAGACTGATGGTAATTCTTTAAGACTCTATCGCAGTCATTGCATGTTGCATGTGTCAGTACTGACATTGGCACAAATGTTTGCCTGAATCAGCCAAAGACAATTTCAAAGGGAACTATCACCAGAAAATTGTTATGAATGCTTTGTTGAATTCTCCAGATTTTTCATAAGTTGTAAGAGAGTCTAGTAACTTGCTTATCAGTTTATAAATGCTATCATAGCTAGATAAGTCAAGCTAGACAAGTAGTTGCAAGGCTCAGGTTTTTGCAATACATATTAAGCAGAGCTCTAACCAGCTTTCACCCACAAAATAATCTTTGTATTGTGTGTGTTCTTCTTAGGTGTATAATTATATGTTGATGTCTTAATAAGTAAATGCATACATTATTCTTGATTTTTATTATATACATTATTCTTGATTATTGACGCAAGTTCTGGCTTCTCCCTGCAATCAGTCCAGTTATTGGACAGAAGGTGTTAGCTTTTTGGAAATCCATTAAATTAATAATGTAAAGAATAATGTAATGTAAATTACAATACTCTGAATTTGAAAGAAATAAACATCTATCCATCACTTCCCCCCCCTCTAAAAAAAAAGCATATTTATGTGTGTAATACAGTATTTAACAAAAACACAAAAATGTCAGATTGCAATGAAAAAACACATTGTGAAAAATAGATCAGTTTAAAGTAACTGCTAGATTTTGTCTTGACATACCTGAAATCCTTTGGTTTAATCTAAATTCAAGGTTTCTTCATGATTAAGTCCACGTGGCATGCAGTAAATTATACACCTGTAGGATAAAGATTGAAGCAGTAGAAGTGTATAATACAAGCACAGAAGATGTGTTGTCACATATAACCTCAGTAGCAGAGTTGTCAAGATCATTTGGCTCTAATATTAAATTTAGAGGTCTTGATCCAATAGAAATGATTGTTCATAGACTGCTTGCTTTGCCAAATAAACAAATAAATAATAATAATTATTATATTATATATAATATTATTATACAGGATGTATATAGCGCCAACAGTTTGCTCAGCGCTTTACAAAATAAAGGGAGACAATACAGAAATGATACAGTTCAATACAAGAGGGTTACAGTAGGAGGGAATAAATAAAAAGCAAAATAAATAGACCAACTTTGCAAATGTATAAAAAATCCCTAACAAGACAGTAATTACCTCTTATATGTTTTTTTTTGTCTTCATTCTACAGTATATCTTTGAAGATTAGACACCTATTAGTCAGAAACATAACTGAACAGAAGTGATTAGCACCTGACTTTAGTTGGGGTTTAATTGTCACATGGGCCTAGTTAATGGAGGTTTACTGCCCAGCGAGGCCCCTTTCATGAGGGTAATCGTTCATGTCAGTTTTTCAGGTGGACCTGATTGTAAGTTCTATGGACAAGCAGGTATAAATGGACTTGTGTCCATTGTGTCTTGCACCAGCCTAAAGTATATCTAAATTCAACATAAAAAATTTTATATTTTAAACCGTACCAGTCCTTAGATGTGGTAGCTGCATTAATTTCCTATTTTAGGCTTTTTTCCCCTTTTTTTCACTTGGTGATCCAGACGCTCACACTTCATGTCCCAGGATTATTATTATTATTATTATACAGGATTTATATATAGGGCCAACAGTTTGTGCAGCGCTTTACAATATAATGGAGACAGTACAATTACAATACATTTCAGTACAGAAAAAATATGAGGGCCCTGCTCGTGGAGCTTACAATCTAAAGGAAGGGGGAGATGATACAAAAGGTGATAGCTGCGGGGGATGATCTGGTGGAGGTGATTCAAGTACAGTTCTTAGGTGGAGGTGGAGGTGGGGTATGCTTCCCTGAATAAGTGAGTTTTTTCAAAGATCCCCTAAAGGCAGACAGGGTGGTGGCTGACCGGACATACTGTGTTAGGGAGTTCCAGAGGATGGGAGAGGCTCTGGAGAAGTCCTGGAGGTGAGCGTGGGAGGAGGTGATGAGGGAGCTAGAGAGGAAGATATCATGGGAGGAGTGGAGTGGGCGACTTGGGTGGTATCTGCGGATGAGGTTGATGATGTAGTTAGGGGCAGTGTTGTGAATGGCTTTGCAAGCTGTGGTTAGTATTTTGAATT